AGAGTTGGCTGTCAAGGGGGGGGAAGTGGAGTATAAACGAATTTTGAAGGGGTTAAAGGGGTTTAAAGGGGGGTGCCTTAATGTGATTTTTATTTTTTATTTTTTTTATCTTCAGTTCCGTGAGGAATTCCGATGTGACCCTCAGCCAAAAGCTGTTTGCATTGCAATTCTACACGACATATTTTTTATTCAGATTTTTTTTTTTTTTTGCACAGGGTCTGCTGCCTGGGCACGTGGCCGGGGGTCATGCCCGGCCGGTCACCTGGTCGCCTAACCGGGCGTGGCATCGGGGCCCCGGCGCCTGGGACATCTCCCTAGCTTGAGTTGTAAAAAAAAAAAAAAAAAAAAAAAAAAAAACTTGACTGAATTGACTCTACTTTTCAATGTAAACGGGACTGTTTGCTGCAGCATCCTTGTTAACTTGTGCGTGACGTGGCCAGAAGGACTCCATCGTTCGTTTCAAACGGCGGAGCCAATGCCTTTGCAAGCACAAGGAGACATCTGAGGAGACTCATATGGAAAATTTCCAACCCTTATCAGACGACGGGAATTGGCCGTGAGTAGACACAACTGGGGACACCCGACTGCCCGACCATAACAACATCAAAAGAGAGACGCAGATATGGCTGTTATGCGTTTACTGTTATGTGTTCACTGTTACCGACCGTAAAACAACATCAAAAGAGATACGGCTGTTACGCGTTTACTGTTATGTGTTTACTGTTACCGACGCAGATACGCCTGCTACGCGTTTACTGTTACTCGTTTACTGTTATGTGTTTACTGTTACCGACCGTAACAACATCAAAAGAGATACGGCTGTTACACATTTACTGTTATGTGTTTACTGTTACCGACGCAGATACGCCTGTTACGCGTTTACTGTTACTCGTTTACTGTTATGTGTTTACTGTTACCGAACGTAACAACATCAAAAGAGAGACGCAGATACGGCGGTTACGCGTTAACTGTTATGTGTTCAGAAACTTCAGATTAAACTCCCTTCCATAAACCTAAAGAAAAAAAGCAGCAGTTGCGTAACACTTCGGGCTCGCCACCTGAGATAGATGGTTCGGCCCCCCCTTAGACTTGGAAGGGGAATAGGTTCGCCCCGTTCCACCCGTGCCAGGGCTTAAGATTCAACCCTGAAGGGGTAGGCTCAACCGGGAAGGCTCAACCCTGAGGGGATAGGTAGGCGAGGATAGATCGGAAGGAAAGCGTCCCATAGACCCAGCAACTGGACTCCAATAGGCACGAGGGTAGGTAGTGTGAGGTATATTAAAGAGAATAATATATCTAAGTTTGGGGGGGGGGAAGGGGGGAACAAAGCCAATAAAGATAATAAAGGTAGAATAAACTTAGTAAGTTCGTATTAACTTTTTTAGTAGTAAACTGGCTGCATTGCCTTAATAATAACACAATTTGCTGCACAATACTCAATGATATATACACTGCGCGGCTAAGTCTGCGCCTGAACTCACCAGACACTGTTTCCATCCTCATCCTTCATCATGTTGTTGGACTGTAGCACTACCTCCACCCAAAGCCTTTTTTTTTTTTTTTTTTTTAATTACCTCCACCCAAAGCCTTATTACCCTTCACAGAATGGGAATGTCCAACAACTTGTATTCCTTACATATTTCCTACATATTTTTTGAAATCCTCGATTAACCATCATTTGCCACAGAAAGACAGCGGGAGCTATAGAAGGAACACGGTTGGATGCGATACACAGCACTTATGTCGTGCACTCAAGGCCCTTGTGAAGGAAAGGAAGTAGTCGATGGGAAAAAGAAAAAAAAAAACTGTTGAGAAGCAGCAAGAAACAGGTCCACGAACTCAGTCACAAACACGCGCGCAAAAAAATAAAAAAATAAAAATCATTCCACAAGCCAACCATCGTTCCGAGGGCTGCATACTACCCAAAAGGTTAAGGTCTGTTTAATGTTTAAGCCCAGGCAAACATCCGTACTCTCTTGCTGCTAGGTGTCCCTAGATTTCCAGTGTTTCCACCTACCCCATTAAACCACCACTCTTTTCAGTTGGATCGTTGGATTTCGAGGATGAAATGGCCACCGCTTTCCGCCCCCCTCCGCGCACCCCCCCCCTCGTCTTGCTGCTAGGTGTCCCTTGCCTCCGACCTACCCTTAGATCACCACTATCTTTTTTATCACACTGCACTGCAGCACCTGCCCCCCTTTTCAGTTGGACCGTTCGATTTTGACGATGCCATGGCCACAACTTCTTCCCCCCACCTCCCGTCTCCTCTGTCTACACTATCCTCAGGTTGGGGGAAGAAGAAGTTGTGGCCAGCGAACGAACGGTCCAACTGAAAAGGGGGGTTGACCTGATTTTTTGAGTTGAGTAGGTGGTGGCGGTTCGCGTGCCACACTATCCTCATCTCCCCTCATCTCCAAGGCCAAGTGCTGGACCAAAATGATGCCTGCCTCTCCTGATCTCCCTTCTTTTCTATAGCTCGGGTTGTTCTTTCAATTCTGCAGGTTCTATTTCTTAATCATTACCCCATCCATTCTATCCACAACGGTCTAGAAAAAGTGGATCAAGCCCTGCATGGCCATAGCACCTCCTGATCGTATTTCTCCCGATGTAAACGAAAAGATAGGCAATCTTTCTTTTCAGCCTTCATAGACCATCATCATCATCATCAATCTCAGGATGATGTCGACACCACCGAGTCCCAAGGGGAATGACGACCTCAACGGCCGAAACCATACACCCATAACCACTAGCCTAACACTGCACACCACACTATGAACCATCTCAAAGTTGTGATAACCAGTCTGAGAAGATCCTGCGCGTTGATGACGAACCATGCCTACAGATGACAGGCAGGACAGATGTGAATCGACATCGGGATGCAACAAAACATTGAAGTGAATCAAGACAAGATGAGGACGCAACAAAACCTTGCAGTGGACGCTTCTGGCTTTGCTCTCTCCTCCCATCTCGTCCTTGGAGTGCATGCTTCTGCTTGAGGATGTAACAAACCCTTGAGGATGCAACCAAAACATCGAAGTGAATCGAGATGACGATGCAACAATAAACTGTGCTGCAATGACACACTATCTCATGAGCATGTCAACATCCTCTTCCTCCTCCTGTTCGATTTCCCCTGGATGCTTTGCTCTCCTCCCTTCGCGTCCTTGGCGTGCACGCTTCTGCTTCCCGCTGCAACAAATCATCAGAGTATAGTTCAAACAGTGTTATCAAGTTAATCCTCCCTTATCAGATTCCCCTTTGCTGTCACTGGATTCTCTTCCCCCCCTCCGCCCTCCCACCCACCTTCCTCCTCCTCTGCCCTTCACCCCAACACCCCCCCCGCAACCCCGCAGGCCTTTGTTTTTTAATTTGGACCATTTCTCAATTTATGCGTATTGTCCCAAACCCAGGAAGGGAAAAAAAAAAGAAAAAAAAAGACAGTACAACCTAGGCTACCAGCCGGGCCGCCCGGGTCACCCTATTTTCCCAGGCGGCCCGGCCGTGCAAAGACCAGGGAAGGTCCCAGCCAAAAAAAAAAAAAAAAAAAAAAAATCCAAAAAATCCGAAAACAAACTATGTTATGAAGAAAAATAAACTGAACAACTTTTGCCTCAGGGTCACATTGAAATTCTTTACCAAATTTAAAATGAAAATGAAAATAAAAAATATATATATATATCGTCACAAACAGAACTGCCCGGTGAACCGTAGGCAGAGAGAGAGAAGAGGACAACAAACGAGGGGCTGTGACAAACTGTTTCGTCGGAGTTTCACCGACTCATATATTATATATATTTTTTATTATTTTTATTTTTTTTTCCTTTTTGGCCCGGCCGGGCAAGTGGACCCGGCCACTGGTAGCCTAGAGTACAACTCAATAAACACAACAGAGGAGGATGGATATCAATAAACCTAATGGAACGATGGTGGATGATATCATGGGGGAAGAAACGAGATGCAATAGAACAGGAGGGGCGGAGGATGAGGATGATAGGATCCGTCAACAACTTACTCACAATGAGATCGAACTGCAGAAATGCACATACGAGTTTTGGAACGATCTGATTGTGGAAAGAAGTAGACGGATCTCGTATTGGCATATTGCCCCCTGTGCAAGGATGACTGACATTCACAAAGAGGATAGACAGAACTTGTACTCTGTGTATTGGCATGCCAACATTGCCAAGCCACTACGCGAGTTTGCTTTGGCACACATCCAGTAGAAATTTGAAATGGAAAGAACCGGAGTCATTACACACTAGATAATCATGCATGCCCCCTAGATAACCAGGCCCACTAGATAACCAGGCCCCCTAGATAACCATGCCCCCTAGATAACCATGCCCCGTAGATAACCAGTGCCCCATAGATAACCAGTGCCCCCTAGATAACCATGCCCCCTGTGCAAGGATGGATGGCATTTGCAAAAGAAAAAGGGGTCAATTTTATTATTGATTCAGCGTGTCCTTCGGGAAATCAGGGACATCTGGGACATCCGGGACATCCGTTAACATTGGAACCATACAGAGAAAGAAGATTAGCAAATGGCCCCTGCAAAGGGGGCTTACAACTTTGCACACATTGATTGAGAAATGGACCAAATGGTCCCAAAAAAAAAAAAAAAAAAAAAAAAAGATGAAACGTGTGCATAAAGGTCCAGGGTACCTGCAAGCCTACAGCCACTCGGGAAGACGAGTGGGCGTGCGGCGCTGGGGTCGACCGGGGAGGTTCTCCGCGCTCTGCCGGCCAGGGCCCGCACAAATGTGACACAGAATTTTTCCAAGATTACGTGCGGTGGCCTTGTAGTGGAGGGTATCTATCGGCCACCGCCGACGCCAAACAAAATGAAGGGGGAAGGGCCTGCCGGCACCAAAAGCCCCTTTTGTCTAAACGTTCCTGGGTGAAACCTGGCCATTGATCTTGCAGATCGAAGACCCGGCAAGGTTTCACCCAGGGCTTCAGCAGCTCCTTGGACTGAATCTGCTGTGCTGCCAATGTGCCGCCCAGTTCGCCGACTCCTCACCGGGCCGACAAGCATGATGTCCCTGCTGCTGCCTGTTTCCGCTGACGTCCACTCTGTGCACCTGGAACCGAGCCGAGACCACCAGCTGCCATGTGGTTGATTGAGACTGATGCTGATGCTCCCATTACAGTGTGGAGGGCAAGGATAGCAGCAGAGAGCACGCATGGGATTGGAACCAGTTGCTGCCATGTCTTTTCTTTTGTGCTAAGTCAGACTCTTTCTCTGTATCACTTCCTCTCATCTTTTCTGCCGTGCTCTCGATCGTCAGATGATGATGATGATGATGATGATGATGATGATGATGATACAGGGCTGGTGATGATGACATGATGCGAGATGGGATGACAATGCGAAGTATCATGTGTAGGTATAGCTGTCACTATGTGCACAGGACATCTAACCATGCTGGCATGCAAGTCGTTACGGAAAGAAAAGAAAAAGAAAAAGAATAGAAGAGGAAAACGAACGAAAAAAAAAGAAGACGAAGAGTCGTTGAGTCTCCGGAAGATGCCAACTATTTGCTGTTTCCCCGTTCGGCATTGACTCTTTCCCTGTTGACTAGAGTTTAAGTTCTGTTTAACATTCCCATGAGTTCTTCAAACTTAACGACTTTCTAGTTCAAACTTCAAATTTGAGCTTTTTTCAAATTTTCACTGCTGTCTGCAACTCGTCACTGTTATCAGATTTTCACCGACTGCGTTGGTGTTTCTGAATCATGTTTGCTTGTTTCCTCCGCAGGTAGCAATCCACCACCCACACTTCCCCTCTTCCCCCCCCTTCCC